TTTTTTTTGCTTTTATTCTTTTATTGGTACATTTTAGGCATACAGTATGTTTACATTTATCATTGGGTGCTTGTACCTGTACATGATGTATCTTGGTTCTTATATTTTTCCCCATTACCTGTGTACCCTTCAGCCCCCTCCACCCTTCCCTATATACATAGATTTTGGTTCCACTTTTTTTTCTTTTCTCATAATTTTTCCTTTCCCTTCTTCCCTTTCCCCTGCTCCTCCTACCACCCCTACAACTTTGGACCTTTTCCTATTTCAAATTATGAATTATTCATTTAAATCCTTATTTACACTTTCAGTTTTTCACACTAGAGTAATTATTCGGTATTTACACGTGTCCTATTTATTTCACTTAAGAGTATGGCCTCAATATGCATCCAATTAGCTGTAAATGTCTCTAGTTTCTCGTTCTTTATGGCTGAGTAGTACTCCATTTTATAAAAAAACACATTTTCTTTATCCAGTATCCAGTTGATGGGCATTTGGGCTGTTTCCAAGTTTTAGCTATTACAAATTGTGCTGCTATGAACATGGGTGCACATATATCATTGTGGTAAGATTCTTTTAATTCTTTGGGGAAGATACCCAGCAGGGAAATAGCTTGGTCAAATGGGACCTCTAGCCCTAGCTCTTTGAGGTTTCTCCATACTGATTTTCACAGTGATTGCACCAGTCTGGACTCCCACCAACAATGGAGGAGGATTCTTTTCTCTCCACACCCTCACCAGCAATTATTATTGGTTGATTTCTTGATAGCAGCCATTCTTTCTGGGGAGAGGTGGAATCTCAGTGTTGTTTTCATCTGCATCTCTTGAATGACAAGTGATGTTGAACATTTTTTCATATATTTATTTGCTGCTTTTACTTCTTTGTCTGAAAATGTCTGTTCATTTCAGATGCCCATTTTTGAATTGGGTCTTTGAATTTAGGGGTTCTGATTATTTTCAATTCTTTATATATTCTAGATAGTAGACCTTTGTCTGAGGTACAGCTGCTAAAATTTTTTTTCCCACATTGTAAGTTGTCTCTTAGCTTTATTGGTGGTTTCTCATGCAGTGCAGAAGCTTTTTAATAAGGTGAGATTTCAGTTGTCGATTCTTTGTGCTTGCTCCCGTGCTACTGAGGTTTTGTTCATAAAGTCTTTTCCTATGCCAATGTCTTCAAGAGTTCTATCTAACTTATCTTCCAGCACCTTTAGAGTTTCTGCCTTAATAGTTAGATCTTTAATCCACTTCTATCTTAGTTTAGTGCATGGTGATAGGTATGGGTCTAGTTTTAATCTCTGGCAGGTTGAAATCCAGTTTTTCCAATACCATTTATTAAATAGGCTATGTTTCCTCCAATGAGGGTGGTTGGCTCCTTTGTCAAAGAAGTTAAACTGTAATTATTTGCTGATGCTATGATACTTTACATAGAAGTTCCAAAAAACTCAGTCTAAAGTCCTCTAGACCTAATTGATAGATTCAGTAGAGTAGCTGGATATAAGGTCAACACTCAAAAAACAATATCCTTCTTATACACAAACAGCAGACTCATTGAGAGAGAAATTTGGGAAATAATTCCTTTTACAATAGCATCCAAAAAAATGAAATATCTAGGAATCAACCTAACAAAGGAAGCAAAAAACCTCTACACTGAAAACTACAGCACCCTG